TCACCAGCACCCTTAAATTCCATCATATTGTCGCTGCTACTAGGATGCAGACATAATCACGTAGAAAGTTCAAGTTTACAACCAGAACGATCCTGCAAATAGCTTCTTGCGAGCAGGCAAGTTTTGGGACAGCTTGGGCAGGCGAAAGGGATTATTTGCAGTAATGGAACTACTGCACTCGAGGAGTGTGAGATAAAGACAGAATTGTTGGAACTCAACAATAATTGCCACGTCAAAACCATCCATGGCCAAGATAAACATCCAGCAACTACCAGCAACCACACCATTGCTATCTTTCTCATATTTACTGACCTCATGTCTTGATCTCACTCTACATTCCTTGACTCAACTCTATTCCTAACAATCCCAAATTCTACACAATAATTTAGGATTGCATTTGGATGGATAAATTCATATTGAAAATTTAAATTTAAATATCATATTTGAAATTTATAGTTCTAAAATGTTTGTTTGGATAATATAAAAAATTTTAAATTATAATATTAAAATACTTTGTTTGAATTTCAAGTAAAATTTCAAATTTTAAATTATATGTTTTGAATTTAAAAGCAACTTGGACAACGTTAGTGATCTAGTCTCATCAAAGTCAATGGGCCAACTTCTACCAAGACCAAACTGCTAGCGCTTACTGGCATTAAACGATAGACTTCCAGAGGGACCATACCATTGGCAATTATTGGGACCAAAATGGCCCGACTTCCATCGAGACCGTACATCGGCACCAACCAGGGCTTGATTGCTGGTACCAACTGAGATAGGATTGTTGTGTTGATCGAGACCAAACAGCCAACTTCCATTGAGACCAAATCTCCAATGCTACTTGAGACTAAAGTGCAAGGGACTATTGGGACCAGACGGTCGACTTCCACCAAAATTAAAAACCACCGATATCGACATAGGCAAGACCGATCATCACTACAACTCTAATCTTGGTCAGCTCCAGCAATCCAATCCAATCCTAGTTGAGGTAGCTGGTTTCAGTCCCCGATTAAAGTAGTTGGTCTTGTCGTAGTGGAGATTGTCCAGTCCTAATCGATTTTGACAGTCATGTCTTAGTTGGCACCAACAGTCTTGTCTTGTTCGAGGCTAGTGGTCTGGTTTTGAAGAAACTGTCCAGTGAAAGTCAACAGTCTAATCCTCGTTGTCAACTACACTCTGTCCTAATCATCGCCGACAGTTAAGTCTCGATTGACATGGGAGATTCAGTCCTTATGGAATTCAACCGTCTGGTCTAGATTGGTGTCGGTTGTCCGATCCCAGTTGGTGGTGGCAACCCGGTCCGTTCAGCAGTGGTGGCAATCTGGTCCTAGTTGCTGTCAGCAATCTAGTCCTATCAGGCGTTGTTGACAGACTAGTCAAATTACAAAGAATTGAGGTAGAAATTGAATTTGACAATAGATTTAATTCAAATCCAAATCTCAATTCCTATACATCCAAACATAGCAAAAATAGTTGGGGAGATATAGAGTTGCTCTCTCTCTGAAAAACCATGCTTCTTCATCCTACAGGCGCCATTTTCTTCATCTCTGACTGGAGATCATGGAATGTTATACTGACAACCATCTGTATCAAGTAAAGCAAGCTAGACAAATTAATTGAATAGTGAATGACACGAGGTACATGTGTTCTGTGTATGTAAAATAATTGACCTCAGCCATAGTAATGTGCATTTTGTTGGCTTCTCTACCAGCTGTGAACTGTTAAATCCTCTGTGCAAGAAGTGCCCAGCAATTGAGTTTGAGCATTCACCAGCACAAAATCGCCAGGTCCATCAACTGCCAGCTGCCAAGACAGCAAGTGATATAATGAAGGTAAACAAATCCTTTTCTTGGTCAAGGGCAAAGAAATACAGGGAAACCAAATCCAAGTATCCACATGCCAGATTGTGTTATTTAATATCTTTCATAACATCTTATACCCGGAATTTTGGCATGCCAAAAAAGCATGGCTTCCTATAAATAAATTGTAACAATGTATAAAAACATGGGTATTGAATGGGGCACACATCATGGAATAAAATTTGAAGTCGACAGGTAGAATTGGAAGTGCCGTGTCATTTAAGTTGTCCAAGGTTCAAAGCTTACGACTAAAGTCACGTAAATAGACATTTCAAGCAAGAATTTTGTGTGCGTGTGTTCATTTTATTCTGTTACATAACAATATGGAAATAGATAAGCTACAGCCAGAAAGATAAAAAAGCAAGACATTACGAAAAGATGAGTAAAGTGAACATAGAGACAACTAAACAAAAAAAATATTTGATGGTAACAACTCTAAAATTTACAAATATGATTTACGTTGACAGATTTTGAGATATATCCGCAGATTAAAACAAAGAAGATAAGTAATAATAGAATGAAAGGACTTAATTTACAAGCTAATAACGAGAAAAATTTTACAAAGACCTGCGTAAGGCATGAGTTGCCAAAAAGACATGAAGGGATATAAGAGGATCCCAAGTTCATGAAGAAAAGATACTCACCGAATACCACGAGGTATGGTATTGTTCTCTTTCAAATTTCCCTGCAGAAAATAGGATGCATGATTAGTTCTCTCAATAAATCTATCTCAACTCATTACAACAATAACGAAAGACAAAACAAGGCAAAAATAAGATGAAATCCTGCAATCCTATAATCCATTTAAACTACTCAAGCTAACACCTGCAAGGCAAAAACTAAGCAGATGAGAGGCTCAACAGTACCTTGTGCATGGTAGCTGCAAGCAACTCTGCATATATTTATATAGATTTCAGATCATCTCCTATAGGGCTTTAAATGGTACTTTTGGAACTCTGAACCAAATGTTATTGATTCCTCATCAAGCTTTTTCTTCAACCTTCTCCAAGTTCTCAACATATCAGATTGTATTAAGCCTTTGTAGAGGGTCTCAAAAGTAACTTTCTGAGGAAGAAACCCATTCTCGATCATCTCAACAAAATAACCGCAAGCCTGCCGCCAGTTTTGTTTCTCACAAAGTTCATTTATTAGTAGCGTATAGGAATCTAAATCTGGTCCCACCCCAGTTTCTTTCATATCATTCCATAGTTGTTTCACAACCTCGATTTTGTTTAATTTCAAAAACATAACAACTAATATGTTGTATGTGTGCATGTTGGGCATGCATAAACCATCTTCCTTCATTTTCTTGAACAACTTCAAAGCACTATCTGCATCCTTTCTGCCCCTATATTCCTTATAGAAGCAATTATAGGTTGCAGCACATGGACTTATTCCGTTCCTTACCATCTCATTGAGCAACTCCTCAGCATCTTCAAGCCAGCCACATGAACAAAGACATTTAATAACGGAAGTATATGTCACAGCCGTTGGGCAGATTCCTTTCTCCTTCATCGATCTTAATTTATCAAGGGACAGTTGCGGTTTATGAGCCCGGCTATAGACATGGAGCACAATGGAGAAACTAGTAACATCTGGCTCAACCCCTCTCTTGTGCATTTCATCAAACAAGTTATCAGCATTTCTTAATGTCCTTTCAAATCTTTCTTCTGGGTGTAAACTTGCCCGCCTACAAATTCCATTCAACAACACATTATATGTAACAACATTAGGCTCAAGTCCTTTCTCCACCATGTCCTTCAAGAACCCCTCTGCCATTTTAATGCGACCTATCTTACACCAACCATAAATCAAAACCGTGTACATTTTCACATCAGGCACAAACCTGTGCTTCTTTTGGTTAAAAACTTCAACGGCAACTTTCACGTACCCGTACTTACAAAGGGTATCCAGCAAATAACAGAAATCTTCAGAATGCACCTTCTCCTCCACAAAATTATCGATGTCATCGAATGCACGTATTGCTTGGCGAGTAAGCCCAGCAGAAATAAGCCTGCGAATCATTATCAAGAAGGTAGTAGAAGTGGGGTTGACCTTTCTCTGGTCCATCTCGATGATGAGTTGCCAAACGACATCGAATTGGCGAACCCTGCCCATGATGTCGATCATGAGGTTGTAGGAATCGGAGCTGAGAGGTGGATCGGGAAGGGATTTAGAATAATTGAAAAGGGCAAGCGCGATTTTTGAAGAGTTCCTGAGGCGGAGGAGGACCTCATGTAAAAGGTGAGGGGTAAGGGTGATTCCATGGAGCTGCAGAGAGGACTCCGTGGCATGAAAGGGATTGTGGTGCTGGAGAAGGATCCTTGATACCAGTTCGGAGTCATTTGAATACTGAACGGTTGGGGATGAGCTGTTGTCGTGGTCTTGGTGAGGCTGTGAAGATGAAGATAGGCGGTGGGGCAGCGGAGCAATGGCGGGGAAGAGTCTCGCAGAGACGGCGGCGCTGATGCTCCGAGCGGGGACCTTGGGAAAACCCATGGTAAAATCCAAGAAGTGGTATGGTTTCCTTCCGGACTTGGACAATTGTACCGGGTAGAACTGTGCAAAAGGCTTGTGGTCCAGTCTGACCCGATCCGGCTCATGAAAACCCGATCCGGTCCGGTCTTGAAAGATGCTGCTCTTGTAGAACCAGAAAAACTAAAAAGACAAGACTAATTTTTCAATAAGACTGGACCAAAGACCAAACATCTAGACTAAGTAATACAATCTGGTCTTATATAATTATTTTAATATAATTAAAATTAATTTATGAATTATTGATTCATAAGTCTTAGTCTTATTGTCTTAGTTAGTCTCATCTTACGTGAGCCAGATAGATTGATAGGTTAGTTCACTACCATTCTCGTTAACGAAGCCCTAGCTCTTGCCTTTCGCAGCTCTGCCAGTGTACTACCACCGTCAGTCACATCTATTGTCGCCTCTTGCATATGATTCACCCTTGAGCACGTTGCATCATCGCCCTACCTTTGCTCTCCATCACCCCTAACCTCTGATTAATTGTCAGCACGTTACACCTTTGACCATGCAGTCGCCAGGTATGTTCATTTCTAGTTCTAGTTTTTCACATTCCTTTTCCCGTTGAATTCTTCTTAATGGAATTGCATATGCCATGAAAGATAGGTGTTTTATAACTGTTGTTTGATTAACAATCATGGCTAGTTAGTTTGATTCATTGTTCTTAATGAACTGAGCTTTTATTGAACTTTTCAGTGGTTTATTATGAATGATGGTTTTATTTTTGCTCTTTTCACTTGTTTTTGTTCCTTTTTTGCAACATGAAGCAAGGTAAGCCATCCTCTCCCCACTCGTTTGACCCTTTGTCAATCTCCTATGCTCTTATCAAATTTCAAATTTTTTTATCTACCATAACAATCATAAGGTTAGGCACAGTGAGAGAAAATTCTCATAAAATAATGATGTTTAGTTGATCATAGTGATGATGCTCTTATTTCAGTACTCTCATTATGCCATCTTATTTTTGCATTGGTTTTTAGCTCCTCACCAGAGCCACTACTTAATCATCATGTTATTTTTGTTTTAATCTCTAAGTTACGTGTATGGTGTATGATAATACTTTTGTTACCTACAATTAGATCGGTTGCATTGGAGATAGGAATGAGTAGATATGAATGTTGTTGTTGTGCTCTTGATCTCTTAGAGAAAGAAATACTATGCCCTTCCATCTTTTAATTCTGGAGTCTGGACACGTTAGAAGTTATTATCGTTCTTTACTACATCTACTTTTATTGTATGAAAAACCATTAAATTTCCTTGTTGTTCTTTCTTTTGTTGTTGTACTGTTTCGTCTTTTTACTTGAAAAAAGATGTTATGCTTTCCCTTTTCCTAAAAAATAATGAATATATATGTCCCATCTCTTTCTTTCCTCACATGGCATCCATACACTAGATGAATGAAGACACCGAAAAGGATTCTTGTTGGAAGTTATAATGTCTAAATGTTATTGTTTATTATGTCATGTAATGTGATTCAGTTTAAAGAAGTCTCCTTATTTAATCTCATTGGTAATATTTTGTATTTTATTATTGTGAAGTGATGGATATTGAGCAAACATCTAGCATTGACCAACCTTATTTGTCTCTTTTTACTGGTGAAAATGTGAATTCAACTCCTTTTGGACCATCTTTGACACTTAATCCTCCTCCCCGGCCCCCAACTACTATGGAATGTCCTCCTCCTCTTACAATTATAACTGAAAATGAAGCTATAAAAGATAGTAGAAAGAGGAAGAGCTCTACAAGAAAGGTATCAAAAGTGTGGGAACACTTTACTAAATTACCATTGGAGGAGACAAATAGAGAAGTTAGAGCTGCATGCAAGTGATGTAATTTAGAGTATGCTTGTGACTCAGGCAAGTATGGTTCAACATCCTTGAAGAGGCATATGTCAAAATGTCCCAAGAATCCACATAAGGCTACACAAATGACAAAACAATCTATATTGAATTATGTGATACCAAGTGGGTAAAAAGGAAGCTTGGTACCTCACATGTTCAATTAGAAATGATGTCACGGGGCTCTAGTTGAGTTCATCATATGTGATGAGATGCCATTTAGGCTTGTTGAGAAGGAAGGCTTTAAAAATTTTGTGAAAGAGTTAGAACCACGATTTCAAATCCCTTTAAGAATAACAGTGGCTAGAGATGCCTAACAATTATATCTTGGTGAAATTAGAATCTTGAAAAATTTGTTGAAGAAGTGTACTAATCGTCTTTGCCTCACTATAAATTGCTAGACATCAGTTCAAAACTTCAATTACTTATGTTTGACAACCCATTTCATTGATAATGATTGGAACTTGCATAAGAGAATTCTAAATTTTTGCATGGTTGAGAATCGTAAGGGTGATACGATAGGCAAGACAATTGAAAGATGCTTATCAAATTAGGGCATACAAAATGTGTTCACTATAACCATGGATAATGCAACTTTCAATGACACAGCCTTGTCTTACTTAAAAAGGCGTTTAAAGAATTGGAGGGGTCTTGTTTTGTGGTGGTGATTATCTTCAACTACGATATTCTACTCATATTCTTAATCTAGTTGTTAATGATGATTTGAAGGAGTTGAAAGATACTTTTGAGTCCATTTGAAATGCTATTAGGTATGTTCATTCATCTCCTGCTCGCTTGTAAAGATTTAAAGATGTTTGTGAATTGAAAATGTTGGACATAAAAAGTATTGTTTGCCTCAATATTAGTACTAGATGAAATTTTGCATATTTAATGTTGGATGTTGCTTTGAAGTTTTAAAAGGAATTTGAAAGATTAGAAGATGAGGATGAAGATTTTGTTAGCTACTTCAACAAAAGTTTAAAGCGTCATGCTTAAAGTGACTTTGCTTGTTTAGATAGTAGTATAGATGCCTATGTTTATAGGCAAGGTGCTGGACCCGATAATAACATGAATGCTTTTGCTTACTCTAGGCAAGCTCCTCCTAAGCGTAATGGCCTTCTAAACAAATAAGATTGGAATAAAGCATGGTTCTTTCTTGAGTTCTTGAAGGTATTTTATGATGTCACTTTGCAATTTTCTAGCACATTGAAAGTTACTGCACATACATGCTTTCATCAAATCGCTTTAATTCAGGAGTTGTTAGATAAGAATATTGAAAGTGATGGCCTTCTTCTTAGGGAGATGTTTTTGAGCATGAAGAGTAAGTATGATAAGTATTGGGGGTAGCAGTTAATTTGAACCCTCTGTTCATTATTGTTATGATTTTTGATCCTTGATACAAGCTTGCCTATATCAACCATGTATTTGATCTGCTTTTTCCTAACCCTGACCTTTGCATGTCCATGAAGAACAAGGCAAGAGACACTTTGTATCGCCTATTTGAGGAATACTCTACAACAATTGGTCTTGATATAAGTAGTTCTGGTAGTGCCAACTCTCCAAGTGCTCTTGACACTAATACTTCAAATGCAAATAAAGGTAAAAAAAGACCCTAGTCATAGATGGTTAGTATCCTAAAAGCAAAAAAGCTCATCAGTTGATATCCAATCAGAGTTGGATAGATACCTTTCAGCTAGGGCATCTAAAGACACCCCTATTGATGATGATGATGATGATTTTGATATCTTGACATGGTGAAAGGTTAGTTCTACTAAATACAGAGTGCTTTCGTTGATAGCACAAGATGTATTGGCTATACCAATATCTACAATTGCTTCTGAATCAGCTTTTAGCACTGGAGGACGTGTTGTTGATGATTATAGGAGTTCTTTATCTCTTAAGATGATTGAAGCACTCATTTGTGCCCAAAATTGGCTAGTTGCAAGGTAGCCTCTCTCAAAATTTGTCTCTATGCTTTATGAGGTTGATAATTTTCAAGAGATTGACAACGTGGTTAATGTTGCAGATAATATATTCAATTTTATATCTCTTAATTTAATTTATATATTGCATTTTTACACTTACTAATTACTTTATATATGTGTATATAATTTATTTTTGACAAATTCTTCAAATATTATTGACGCTAATGAGATAATTATTTAAAAATTTGTTGAGTTTATTTTTATTGAAGCTAAGGAGATAATTACATGACAAATGTAATGTAGTGATAAACTTTATTGACTGTTGTTTTTGTTGAAGTTATAGATTTAAATCATTTGGAGTTTGGACTGTAATTGAAATATTTTTTTTCTTATTGTTAGAAATCATTATGAATTTATTATGATTATAAGTATTTTTATTATCTTGATTGAGTTTATCAGTAGAAATAAATTATCGCTTATCATAGAAGAAAAGAGAAAAAAAAGGGCTAAATGAGTAATGAATTAACAGAACCAGTCCCCCAATCCTATGGATCAAGCCTGATCCTATTAACCTTTGGGTTATTACAAGTTGCCTAATCCAATCTTTGTCATGAAAAAGACCAGACTCCAAGTTAGGCTAAAATTCAATCTCGTCCAATGCTTTATGCAGCCTTAGCACCAGGTGTGAAGGCAGAAACATGATGCCGTTTTGCATTAAAAAAGATGACTAAAGGGCATTTTTGTTTTTAAATGATACATTCTCTTGTGTCTTTTTTTATAAATCATCTTCTATAAAATTTCTTTTCATCTTTTACATAATTCACTTTCTTTTGATTTTTGTAATTTTTAATATTAATTTCAAAATTACTCTCCAATAAGTTTTTTAAGTGTAATATATTTTAATTTCTTAAAAAATTATTTTCACATATCAAATCATTTTTTAAAAGTAGGAATAAAATTAAAAAATAATTTATATTCAAAATAATTTTATCATTCTAACTGACTTACATTAATTTTGATGAGTTCATAATTGTGGGAGCCCATAGGCAAATAAGACTATTGCCTAAGGCCCCCATAAAAGCCTTGAATACTTCTAATATGTATAAATTAAATATATGGATTTGTACTGTAATAAATATCAAATGAAAACAAGTAAAGTTTTAATTATTTTACTTATTGAAAACTTTTTTACATTCTCAAAATAATATTCATTTATTGGGTTTGTCTTAACAACCTGACCATTAATTATTATTTATTCTCTTTTTACAATTATCATTGTGTCATGATTATCTTTCACGCTCTCACTTTTCATCTTCACTCTTTGACTTTTTTCCTTTTCTTATTTCTATTTTATAGCCT